CAGCAAGGCACCAAGTGGCCTTTTCTTTGCTGCTCACCAGTACAATTCCTAGATTCTGAATGGTGGCCTTCTGGATCCCTGAGCTGACCTGTTGTCTGAGCAGGTTTCTGGCTGGGGCCTATCTATGCACACTTGGGATCGTATCTAGGCGTGCCTCTGTCTAGGGCCTGCCCACTTATATAGGTGTTGTCTGGGAGGGCCTTTGGTTGGGGGCTTTGCACCCCATTCCCTCATTCTGGTGTCTGAGCAGGCTTCTGGCTAGGGTCTTTGTGTACTGACTGATGGTATGGGATGGTCCTCTGGCTGACGCTTATGTACCTGAGCAGCACTTTTCTTTGCAGGCCTTTCATTTGGGCCTGTGTGCCTGAGCTACTGGGGTTGGAGGGGGGCCCTGGCTTGATCTGCCTGCAGCCTTGCTGTTCTGGTCTACCCTGCTGTTCACCGGGATTTGGCCTGTTGTATTTTTGTTTGTTTGTTTGTTTTTTGAGACAGGGTCTCACTATGTAGTTGAGACTGACCTGGAACTCACTGTGTAGCTCAGGCTGGTCTCGAACTCATAACGATCCTCCTGCCTCAGCCTCCTGAGTGCTGGGATTACAGGCATGTGCCACCACGCCCGGCCTGTTGTTGTAATTTTGAGATAGGGTCTTGCTATATAGTTCAGACTGGACTTGACCTCATTGTGTACTTGACCTCAAACTCATGGCTATCCTCCTGCCTCAACCTCCCAAGTACTGGGATTACAGGTGTGTACCACTACACCTGACATTCTTTTTCTGGAAAGAAATTCCACTGCAGAGAGGAATATCCCACCCTGTGCAATGATTCTGTTGCACTACTCTGGGTATAAATTATATTTTTACTTTAGAGGCTATATAACTTGAAAGTAAGAGAAAAAGAAAAAAAGAAACTAAGGATCTTATTTTCAAAATAATTCTTCATGTCAGTACCTAATTTAGAAGAAGTTGCATTAATTTTGTAGCTTTCGTTAAAAAAACATTCTCCCCAGTATCATACTGTAGTTCTAAATATAATGTTATCACATCTAGAGGACAGACTCTCTGTGGAAATAATTAGGGAAATAATAATAGTATTTATATATTTTCCTCCTCTGATGATGTTATGGAAGCAAGATAATTAATGGTGAATGAATGGAGAGACCATCAAAAGTTGGCTATTTATATGTGTATAGGGAAGAACTAAGTCGGTATTTTGGTCCTATAAAGAATTTTGACAGTGGTGGGGTGAACTGGTTTTGTTTGTTTTTCCATTCTGGAAATGGAACTGAGCACCTTGTGCTTGCCAGGCAGGCGTGGTGCTGCTGAGCTACATCCCCAGCTGCTTTGTTGTTTTTATAACCATGTACCTTTGGTTAAATCATTTCATCCCTCTAGTAAATTTTCAGTGTCTCATTTATATCTGAAACTCACACTTGAAATTAGGAGTAGATTTGTGAATTATAGGTGTTACTTTTAAGCACACATTTCTTTTGACTTAATAGATCATTTAGAATTCATGGAAAAGAACAGTAAATAATTATAGAAGATCTTGGTCTCTATCTTTTTATACAGTGTTTAGCTGAAAAAAACAAAATCAATGACATCCATTAAAAGTTACCATGACCCGGACATGCAGATCAGAGAGGGATGGAGGAGGCAGGGACCTCATTCTTCACATGATGATAATTGTTCCAATCCTAACCGTGAGGGTGATGGGAGGGTTAAAAACAAAATGACTTTATATTTGCTCCTTCCATCTGTAAATTAGGTACTGTACTTGTCATATATAAAGAATATTACCTGAGCATGGAGGTGGACATCTGTAAAGGCCAAGGGGGCTGGGGATTTAGCTTAGTGGTTCCGCCACCTGTCTCGCAAGCTCAAGGACCCGAGTTTGATCCCTGGTGCCAAAAAAAGGGGTGGGGGTGCTGGGGATGTAGCTGAGTGCAAAGATCTTGGGTCCAACCCCCTACCCAGTGCTGCAAAAAAAGGAAAAAGTCCTATAGCACTGTGTGCTGCAGAGGATAGTGGGGTCTGCAGACCCTGTGTGCAGACCAGTCTGGGAAGGTGGAATGGGGACAGGAGGAAGGACAGCCCTTTCCTTCCCTGTTGTGCATAAAAATGGGTATTATACACGCATATAAAAGTATATACATGCTGGGCATGGTGGTGCATGCCTGTAATCCCAGTACTCGGGAGGCTGAGGCAGGAGGATCGGTGTGAGTTTGAGACCAGCCTAGGTTACATAGTGAGTTCCAGATCCATCTCCACTACATAGTGAGACCCTGTCTCAAAAAACCAATCTCCCCTCAAAAATATATATACATACATATACATACATGTTAGGCCAAGGCTTTAGCTCAGTGGTGCCACTGCCTGCAAAAATAGTATATACTCATAGAAATTTTAGAAAATAGAGAAAAATACAAAGAGAAAAACATTTTTTTCTGCATTGCTGGGGATCAAACCCATGGCTTTATGCATGCTAGACGAATACTCTACTACTGAGCTACATTCCTAGTCCTAAGCTTACATTTTTTTTTTTTCTGGTACTGGGCATTGAACTCAAGGCCCTTTCACTGAACTATATTCCCAGATCCCTCTTTTCAAAAGAATTTTTGGGACCTGCTAAATTGCTAAATTGCCCAGACTGGGCTTAAACTTGCGATCCTCCTGTCTCTGCCTCCTCAAGTGCTATGATTCCATGTGAGCACCACCATACCTGGCTCTAAACATGTTTTGATGCACCTCAAGGCAACTTCATAGTAAGTTTAATAGCAAAATATATGTGTGTATTTGTGTGCGTGTATGTGGGTGGGTGGGTAGGTGTCTGTCTTTGTTTTTGTTTAGAGGATTTTCCACACCTTACTCTGGATATTTTCTTCTATGATTTTGCTCTGTGAATGCCTTTCATTTCATTTGGCAATGATTGTATTCATATTTAGAGAGTATTCATTTCCCTCTCCCCGCCTCCCCATCACTGAAGAATTCAGAGATCTTGATTTATCAATTCATGCAGTTTCCTAAATAATGTTCAGACAGAAAAAAGGGGCAAGTGTTTAGTAAACTCTTGACATTTTTTTATTCAAGATTATTTGTGATAAATAAGAAGGTTAACACAAATTAGGTAATTTTATTTTTTATAAAAATTTGGGAAATTGAACCCAGGGGCCTTTGGACTGAGCTACATCTCTGGGCCCTTTTATTTTTCATTTTGAGAACAAGTCTTGCTAAGTCACTAAGTTACCAAGGCTGAGCTTCAGCTTGTGCTCCTCCTGCCTCAGCCTCCCAGAGCGCTGGAATCACAGGCCTGCGCCATTGTGCCTGGCTCAGATTAGATAACTCTTGCCCTCTTTGTTGTTTATTTCCTTCTCAGCATTGCCTCTGCTTTTGTGTCACGTTTCTTCTCAGGGTTGTACTAGCTCTGATCTCCCTGTCCCTATTTGGACATGTAGGCTGTGTGAATGCTGACCTGTCATCAGCATTTGTGATTCATGGTAGCCAGAAATAAGGGTTTGGATTAACTCAAGTTCATTGAAGGACTCTAAGTGTTTTGATAAATTCAGAAGTGTTTTGTTTTTAACGTCAGGCAGTAACTTTATGGGTATAAAAAAAGCAGAAACGGTTTTGTTTTAATGAGTGAAAGAGAAGGCTTGCAGGATTGTGGAAGATACTTGAAGATTTAAGCCAGACTGCGTCCTGCGCTCCCACGGGCCTCAGTGCAGAGGGGCGGTGACAAGTGAGCAAGGTGAGTTTATCCTAGGATCCCTGCAGTACATCAGTGCATAGAGTTAACAGTTAACAAGAGGTTCTGGAAAGGGCCCAGCCTCCCTGTGTGGAGTCCGGTCAGAGACTGATCTTCAGTGTGAGATGTGGAAGGATGGAAGCTAGGGGGCGCTGTCTGTGGCCTCCATTCTCGGTCCTGTGGGGAGCTCAGTTCTGCATTCTGCGCCCTCCAAGGGTGGCACTGCTGCTTCCTGTGGCCAGAATTCACCCACGCCCCTATGGCCACAAGAAGGACGCTGTCTTCAGCACTCTTTCCCTAAGCACCTCTTACTCGGCCTTTTCACCTGGCCTTTCTCCCTCCTCACACTTCTTGACCTAGCCTCCCCCAGGCCTGGCTTTCCTCAGAGTGCTGTGGCTTGTATTTCTTTTCATATATATTTTCAAACACTTTATTGACATATACTTGACATGAAGTAAGCACAGCATCCCCCTTGAAACCATGACCACAATCATGAGAGTAAGTGTGTTCATTATTCTCAGAAGTAAGTATTCTCTGACCTTTCAACCTCTTCTTTCCTCTTTCTCCTACCCCATAACAAAAATAGTTTGACTGAATTTATATTCTCTTGTAATTTACCTCTTTCCCTCCCAGAATTATGTTTATTGTATTTTTGTTTGTTTGTTTTTGGTACTGGAGATCAAACTTGGGGCCTTGTGCTTGCAAGGCAGGCAGCAGAACCACTGAGCCAGATCCCAGGCCCTGTTTTAAAAGATTAGAAGGTGACAATGTTGTGCACACTTGTAACCCTAGCATTCTGGAAGGCTGAGGCAAGAGGATCCCAAATACAAGCCCAATCCGGACAACTCAGTGTAGCTCAAGGTGAAGACCCTGAATTCAATCTATCTCTGATTTTACTAGTACTTCAGGAGAAGAGGACAGTGCCAAATGTGTGCAAACTCAAAAACACCTGAGCTGGTGCCTTCTGCTGTCAGGACCATGCGCAACATTTATGTCAGACACCTTTAAACTGGGGTGCTGCCCGCAAATCCCCAGTCCAAACCCGAAGGCGCACACTGACCCCTGGTCAGAAGCCTTCTAGCTTGCCACAGAATTTAAACTGCTCATTTTCTGTCTTCCCTCCTGCAGTGGAAACTCTTTACCTTGTTCCTTGGATCACAGGTGTTTGCCACCATGCCTGGCCACAACGAACTATTTAATTTAGATTGAGCATTATGTGTTTTTCAGGAATTAAGTTAAATGTGTTTTTCTCATAGGTGGCAGTGAAAAAGCCCGAACACTTCATATGTCGAGAGGAAAACTGTTGCCCAGAGAAAGAATCGACAATCTTATTGACCCAGGGTTGGTACTGCCCCAAATATTGACTCAGTGTTCTCTGTCTCGTGGTACTGGGCTTGTCAGGCAGTGTGGTAAATAGCGGTTTCGAGTTCTGGTTGTTATCGTAAGTTTGAAACAGCAGCTATGTACTTCGAGCCTCCTGTGCATCAGGCACTGTTTCAGGTGCTAGGGCTGCACTGGGGAGCAGAATAAAGTTCCTGCCTCCTAAGGTCCTTCTGAGGACCCAGTGCATTAGTGTTTAGGGGCCCTTGCAGGAGAGCCTGGCATGTGGTGCCATGTAGTGCTCGCTGCTGTTCTTTTTCTGTTAATAAACACATTTGTATAACACTTTAAGTACCGAGCATCCTGTCCTGTGTACATACTGTATAAGTCCTCAAGACATTCACGTCAGATTTTGTTTTGTAGATTTTTGTATGCAACATGCATATTGGGGACTTTGCCTCAAAAAAGATATCCTTTTCCTTGTGTGATCGTGTAAGTATATATGTGTATTGAAGGACATCAGTTCAGAAGATCTCCTTTTCCCTCAGGTCTCCATTTCTGGAGTTGTCCCAGTTTGCAGGGTACCAGCTGTATGGCGATGAAGAAGTCCCTGCGGGTGGCATCATCACCGGCATTGGAAGGGTATCAGGGTGAGCCTCTTATCTGTGCTCTCGCATGAGGGTCAGAAGGAGGGTCGGGTGGGAGGCAGGCATGCAGCGCTCACTTTGCATGTGAGCATGAGGTTCATGCTAGCAGTGTTGTTCGGGAACTGAGTATCCTCCTTGAGCCTGCAGAAGAGCCATTTGTGGAGCTTTTTATTTTTCTTCAGAGCTATGGATTAAAGCCAGGGCTTTTGTACTGAGCTGCATCCTGGCCCTATTTATTTTGAGATAGGAGCTCCACCAAGCTGCTACATTGCCTGGGTTGGTCATGTATTTGCAATCATACTGCTTCAGCTTCCCAAGGTGCTGGGAATTACAGGCATGCACTACCATACCAGGTTTCATTCGTGGAGCTTTGCAGACAAAAATCAAGAGGAAAAATCCCAGCAAAGATCCCTGGGATCCCATCCAGATCTTGGCGGTTATCCTCTCCAGGTGTGGGCCTGGCATGGAGAGAGTTCTGTGGTCCTACAGTTGGTCTGTGGACCCACCGGGTGAGAGCCCCATCTTAGAGGAGTACTCCTGCTCCATCTGTAGTCCCTGGGCGGTACCAGCCTCACCTGTATGCTGGTTAGAGAAGCAGATTCTCAGGTGTTTTCCTGGAGGTACTAAGTCAGAATGGCTCAGGGTGGGCCCTGCCATCTGCATTTTAATCAGCCCTGCCTGTGGTTCCTTGGGGACCCTACATTGCTGCGTGCTGCATGTGAATGTCCTCTCTGTGGAGGATTAATGTCGCTTCCCCAGGCAGGTACCATGCAGGACTGCAACAGGCCCTCCCAGCCCAGTCCTCCCTGAAGCTCTGAGAGAGGATGCCATCACAGCCACCCCCGTCTGCAGGCTCTGAGTAACCGTCTGTGAGCTCAGCAGGTGGACTGCTGACTGAGCTGACTCTCGCACTCGTCCTGGGCCTTCTGCATCCTCTCCCGTGTCCTGGGCCACCAGGGGAGGTGCAGCCACCACTGGGCCATTGTTGTTCCTCCTTTCATTTAGTTTCCTCTGTTTTCCCCCAGCACACTCCATGGCTTTTTGCTTAGTGTTCAGTCATTGTAGAAGCTTTTTTTTGTTTGAATCTTATGGGACACTTTAAACTGTTTTTAAAAATGGTGATCTTAATGCAGGATTAACCTAAACTCCTGTATCATGGAAGTGTATATGCAGAATAATTTCTCTTCTTCATGCTTGTAATTGTAATAATGACTGTCCACACCTTCCTCTTTTTCCCCTATGTATACACAGTGGTTCTGCATTGCTTACCGACTGTTATGTGACCTGAGAAACAGATCACATGCACATCATAGAGTAGAGGGTGTTCACACAAACCAAGGCAGCTGTGATAATCCCTTAGACTGACACTGTCCATGTGCTCTGTTGTTAACTGAAACACCTTCATGTGGTGCATGACTGTACTAAGAATTTAGTACAACTTTATACCCAAAATGATAGCAGTGTTTCATATTTTAAATTTCGGAATACTTGGATATACAGAATGAGTTACCTTGGGGATGGGACCCAAGTCTAAATGTGAGATTCGTTTATGTTTCATACACATAGCCTGGTGATAATTCTATACAGTATTTCCAATATTTTCCACACCACAAGTGGAAAATTCCACACTGACCTCATGTGGCGTGGTAAGACATGGTCAGAATATAAGCGCTCTAAAAGTATTAGCTTGTATTAGTCAGTTTCATGTTACTATAATAGAATATCTGAGGCAGGCTGCCTGGGAAGTAAGTTTAGAGGTTTATTAGGCCACAGTTCTGAAGGTTCGCAAGAGTGTTGGCCGCCTGCGCGCCATTTTGGTGAGAATGGTGCTTGGCGATGGCATGGAGTATGTGTTGGACCAAACACAGTGTGAATCTGTGGGCGTCGGCCTCACAGCCCCTGAGAAATGTCGCTTCAGACTTAAGGACCTCTGACAAGGTCCTCTCCCGGGGGAGTTGCACCACCTGGGGACCAAGCCTCTGACACACATAGAGTTTTGCAAACCAGGGCGTTATGGTGTATGTAACCCGAGTCGGGTCTGGTTAAACGGGACTTGTGAATAACAAGAGATACTGCTGTCACCTAGAAATGACAAGGGCTTTAGGAGCTCTGTGCTCCTAAAATGGAGGGGGGAGGCCAAAATTGCATTTCTTACTATATCATAGGCTCTGTGATAATTTCTGAAGTAGACACCAAGACATTTAAGGAGGAACCTTGGATGGAATAGATTTAGAAGCAGTTGGATGGCAAGGACTTGGTTTACAGATGTATCAGTGACTAGCTGAAGAGTCATTGAGTGATGTCCCTTCTCTCTGGCAATTCAGGCTCCTTTCCTTGACAAGGTCCTATCAGATCTGATCCCTCCTCACCCTTTTATTGTAACGTTTTAGCTACCCTGCTCTTGTTTCTAGACGACATCGTGCTCTTTGTTGCTTCTGGGGCTGCAGTCACACACTTCTCCAGCATGGCGTGCCCCAGTGACTCCCCCTCCTCATTCCGGTTTCCCTTGGCTTCATGCTGGAGTGTGCACTCTAGAGCCAGACCACCTGGGTTCAGACCTGCCTTTCCCACTCATTGGTAGGTGAGTGGTGGCAAGGTGCTTAATGTCTCTGTGCCTGTTTTCCCCACCTGTGAGTGAGATGTGTCGTGTCTTAGAACAGCGCTCGTCCTGTGATTGGCATGTGGGAATGAGTGGCTGCTGTTGTGCTATCGTTCCTTGATTGTTCTATCTTAACATAGCTCCCGTCATAGTTACCTTGTTTCATCACATCATCTTTTTACCTTGCTTTGTGATAATCTTATCATATAATCAATACCATAATTTTATACTTATGTTACTTTATTGTATCTTCATAGCATTTAGGATCAGAAATTATTTTGTATGCTTGTTAAGTTGTTTGCCATCCCTAACCAGTCCTCTCAACTGGCATAGACCTCTCTGCAAAATCAGGGATTTTGTCCTTTTTCTTTACCCCTGTGTTGTTATTTTCTAGAATGGGACATGGCATATAGGAGGCACATAAAAAAGTATTTGCTGAGTAGAGTAATGGATACATATGTAAACCAAGTTGACTGTTGGTTAGTTCTGGCATGAGACAGTGAACTTGTATCATGCTTACATAGAAGGCAATTTTTGTTTTCTCTAGTTGGGATGGAATCCCCTTATTCCTCAGTGATATCAAATAAAGAGATACCAGAAGACACTCTTGTTTAATTCTACCCTGGACTATAAACTGCGACCAAAAACTTTTTTACTGACACTGGCTCTCAGGTTTTTCTCTAAGGACATCGATAAACAGGGATCCATGTTAGGTACATGTATTGTAGCCCATCAGAGAGTTCTTTCCATGTGGGTAAGGGCAGGAGTGACTGATTTTATTTGATCATTAGAGCTGTGCTAGTGTTGGGTATTATGACTGAACAGGAGTTCACTCATTTAACAGGTGTAAAGTAGCAGCACTTTATTGTATTCTAAATGGCTCTTCTATCCCTAGAAACATGGTTGAACAATGTATGGTCCATATTCTTTCTCTGGCAAAACCTGATGAACAGAGTTTGCTCAGAGTAGTTGAAGCAGAAAAGAGATTTCATGGACTCTTTCTCCTAATTTTCAGTGTGGCTAAGTCTCAGAGCTCAGTCTCTCGTCAGCTCACTGACTGTTTCTGCCCCTGGCCTGCTTGCCTTTTGTTGAATTTCTTCCTAGAACCAGGCCCTCAGACTCAGAGAGGGGTGGCGTTTAGGAGCTATGGTGGAGGGAGCGGTCTTGGGCCTGGCCATGGCTGAGCTGCAGTGTGGCTCTGAGTCTCGAGGCCTGGTTCACATGCTTCCTTGTGGAGGTGGGCACTGGGGTCAGGGCCTCTCAAACCACATAGATTAAAGATGGAGAAGAAGTAGGTGCTGAAGGAGAATTTACTTCCAGTGTCAAAGTCACAGAGGCTGGGGAGGCAAAACCAGTACTGCAGATGTGCAGTGTGCTATTGTGTCGGACTAAGTTTATTTCTCATTCTGTCACATGTTTGAGATCTTAATAGAGGAGCTGAAGCAGCTCTGTCTCTTGTCTAACATCACATAGCTGGCAAGTAGCAGGACCTGAATTCCAGCCTGGCTTTGTCTGACTTCACAGCCCGTACTTCCAGAGCTTCCCGGTGTGGCACTGAGCTGCGGGATGGCGGTGCGGGGTCGCTCCCAGCAGCCCACTGTCGCCCTAGATTTTCCCCGAAGTGGTTTGTTTAATGGTGAAGTCACTAAAAGTTTGCACTCCACGCTATGAAATGTTAATTATAATATAGAAAAGGGCTTTGTATAACTTCAGATTGATGCTCAGAGAGAAGCTTGTTTGTCTTGCCCTAGATATTTCCTGTTTTCTGCTGGGATTTAGTGGGCTGGCCTGGAGGGTGCCAGGGAACGGACAGCGGGTAACACAACACCGTGGGTCCGAAGAACATCGAGTATGGTAAAGTGCGAGCTGTCACTGCCTCTGATTCCAGCAACCGCTGGTCCTGTGGTTCCACGGGGTGCTCTGTGCTCCCCTTCCTGGCTGTCTTCCTTTGTCACCTGGCCCTTTGTCACTTGTGCGCCCTTGTACCCAACAGACTGAGGTGGTGAGAAGGGCACCGTTGACTCCCTGTAACTGTTCCTTTCATATATTTTCTGTGTGCTCTTTTAAAGTTTGCATCCATGTGTCTTTACACAAGATAAATGTTGTATTTTAGACTGTTTTTTAGAAATTTTTTTGGAAAAGCAGATGGCAGTAACATTGAAGATCTCTTGAAAACACAAAAATAAATGTCAGCACTTTTAGCAAGTCTGTTTCTGTTTTTTTCAAATTACTTTCCTAAAAGGAAACTTTGAAGGTTTATTATGAGGCAGTTCCTCTACCTAAGACTCTCCCTCCCTTTCTCCCTTTCTGTATTATGTTAGGCAGGGTGGTGGTGCAGGCCTGTCATCCCAGGACTCAGGAGGCTAAGGCAGGAGGATTGCCATGAGCTTAGGGCCTTCATCTTGTTCGGACTTTTTCATTCAGACAACCATTCTGAACCATTCCATGGCTTATGTTGTTAGTTTTTTTACTATTAATACAGAACTAATGAGTCTTTAACTTCAAGTACTGTATGAGTTTGCATACTTGTTAAAAGTAAAAATTTTAAGCCAGACATGGTGGTGCACACCTGTAATTTCCTCACTCTGGGAGGGTGAGGCAGGAGGATTGCAAGTTCAAGCCCAGCCTGGGCAATTTAATAATTTAGCAAGACTCTGTCTCAAAAAATAAAAAAGGAGTGGGTATGTAGCTTGGTGTAGAGGCTTTGGGTTCAAATTCTGGTACCACCAAAATGAACCAAACAAAAAGTCATTTTATATTGTAAAAATAAAGCTTGCTTTATATCATAAGATTGTCTACTGGTAAGTGTCAGTAGTAATCTGTACTAGAAGTTGAAGGTTATTTCGGAGTGTATTGTAATGAGCTGAAGTTGGCCTGTAATTGTGAAGCAGTCTCTCATATTTTCTTTCTGTTGCCGTTTCTGCCTTTCAGAGTAGAATGCATGATTGTTGCCAATGATGCCACTGTCAAAGGAGGCACTTACTACCCTGTGACTGTGAAAAAACACCTTCGGGCACAAGAAATTGCGCTGCAGAATCGGCTCCCCTGCATCTACCTGGGCAAGTCCCGAGAGCCACAGCTCTCTTGCTAGCTGGTGATGTGCAAGGCCGTCCGGAGGGCGCCTGAGTGGCATCACCAATGTGTATTTCAAAGTGCTGCTGATTTCTTCCATGATTAAAAAGAAATGCTTGTTCTTTCTTGAAAACTCTGGGGGGAAATGAAATAAGAACTGTACATGAAGCTGTCATTGAGGAATAACCTCCGCTAATGCTTACACACAGCAGTTTCTTCTGGACACATGGGTTTATTCCTGTTAACCAAAGTGGGTACAAGCTATTTTAAAAAGAACTAATAGTTATGAATCTCTTGAGTGCCTGGGTAATGTGTTAAATGCTTAAGCATTATATAATTTGAGCAGATGTTTAAAGTAAATTTAATTTCCAGTGAAAGTCAAGTTAACCTTTGAAACCAGAATACATTTAAATTGCATATTTCAAAAAGAACCTGAAAGAGATCAATTAAAAATTGGCACTTCCTGGATACTGATTTTTTACTCTGCTCAAACTCCAAGTATATTGTTCATCTATCTAGGCATCCGAATAGGTAGTGATGCAGAGTTTTTCCCCCTGGGAAAGTGAATTTACCTGGCCCCACACAGTGTGAGACGCAGCAGCAGGTGAGCCTGGCTGTGGGCAGGGGGTTTCTGGACACTTCGGGACATGGTGAGGGGGTTGAGCCAGTGTTAGCGACAGGATAGCAGTTCAAGGCTGATGGCCAGGGGCAGTACGGATAAGTTCGGGCTAGCTAACTTTATTTTTTAACTTTTGCCATGTGTGCTCAGCCCTTACGTACATTATTTCATGTCATCCCGATAACAACTTTACCTGCTGTTGTTTTCTTCATTTCATGGGTAAGGAAACAAAGGCAGAGAAAGACAGAAGACCCTATAATCCTACAACTGTAAAGGAGCAAGTTCTCTTTTGAACTTGGCTGGCACTCTTTTTAAAAAAAACTTTTGTTTTGTTTTGTTTTTGTAATACTGTGGATTGAACCCAGGGCCTTCACACTGAGCTGCATTTTCAGCTCTTTTTTGTTTTGTTTTTTGTTTTTTTGAGACAGGGTCTCACTATGTAGTTGAGACTGACCTGGAACTCACTATGTAGCCCAGGCTGGTCTCGAACTCATAGCGATCCTCCTGCCTCAGCCTCCCGAGTGCTGGGATTACAGGCGTGTGCCACCACGCCCAGCTTCCAGCTCTTTTTTAAAATTTTAAGACAGGGTCTTACTAAATTGCTCAAGCTGGGCTCCTTGTGACCCTCTTGCCTCAGCTTCCCAGTGTGCTGGCATTGTAAATGTGCATCTTCTGGCTTGGCTGGCACTCTTACCCACCACTTCCATCTGGAGTAGAAACAGTATCCGAAGGCAGTGTGTGATTTAATCTATCATGTGAATTCTGTAGATGGCTTTTGTGTTGGTTTAGAATAGGGAAACTTTTTCAGCTCAACTAGTTAAGAATTTACAGTGTCTGTGGCTTTTGTCCCAGAGAATGTCCTAGAAATTCGTGAAGGATTTTGCAGAGGTGGAAAACCTAGTGTGTTTGGGAAAATCTGAATGTTTGGTTGTACTAGGGGATTGGAGAGGGACTCTCAGTTTAGAGATAGGACAAGATTTTTGTGAAAGAGACAGAGAACCGATACCATCGTTGACGCACACCTGACTGACTGGGCAGAGTGTGTTCTGTGCATGGAGATGTACTTACTTCTCTCATTTTCCCGAGCAGTTGACTCAGGTGGTGCCAACTTACCTCGCCAAGCAGATGCATTTCCAGATCGTGATCACTTCGGCCGCATATTCTATAATCAAGCAATCATGTCTTCTAAAAATATTACACAGGTAACTCCTCATTCAGAAGGTGTGTTGCTTTTACTCCAAATGTCTTTGCTAAATGCGTACTCCAGGGTGATTTAAAAATAAAACTTTAGTACAGAATATGACCTTTTCCCATAAAATGTTACTTGAAGTTACCTTCAGTTTGAACTTTTGTCAGTTATGGGAACATTGATATAAAGTTATAAAGTTTATTTACTTAAGGAAAACAAGTTTTAAAAAGGAAGAACACCTGGTAATTCCTTTTTTTAGGAGTACACTAAAGATGAACACAGGACATATTATATATATATATATATTTTAATATACAATTATATAATATTTAATTTATATATCAGATATTAAGAAAGTAGAGTAATTTTTATCCAATTCCTGTGGCACAGCTAGTCTAACTGTATTGTTTGTGTATAAATGTGCATTTGGGAATAATACACTCAACTTGTGTGTACATGAGTGTGTGGTGCTGGAGGTCAAACTCAGGGTCTCCCACTTGCTAGGTGAGCTCTGTGACAGCGTTGTCCCGGATCCGCACTCAACTTTGAGTAGCGCTGCGTCTGAGGTGGGAGGAGAAAGGGCGATCAGGGAGAAGGAGTAGAGGGGCTTCCGCTGTGTCTGAAGTCTAGATCAGAAATACATTGGCCGCGTGTCAGGATTACTTAAGACTGGGTGTTAGCTAATGGATGTTCATTTCACATCTTGTTATGTAGCCTGCTTAACATATGCTTTATTATAGTGTACATATCTGACCTTGTGTTAGTTTCCCAGAGCTGCCGAAACAAATAGCCAGCACTGCATAGCTTAAGCAGTGGAATTTTACTGTGTCAAGCTCTGGAAGTAGAAAGTCTGAAGTCAGGACGGTGGCAGGGCCATGTATCCATGGGATACTCTGTCCTTGCCCCAGAGGCTCCCTTGGCTTTAGTTGCATCACTCCAGTCTCTGCTGTCATCCTCACGTGCCCTCCTGTGTCTTCTCTCTTCTCTTACAAGGACCTTTGTCATTGGATTTAATCCCCACCTGGGAAGCAGGGTGATTGTGTCTCACAGTCTCCTTAACTACATCTACAAAAACTCTTTTCCAAAGAACTGCACATTCACAAGTTCTGGCATTAGTCTTTGGACATATCTTTGGGGGTCGCCTTTGTCACCTTGTGTGCTTCATCTGTGCCCTTTTGTTTTGTTCACATAGCATCTGTGGAAACCATAATATTTCAGGAAACATTTGACAGTTGTCTATTGTATATCAGATCCTGTGCTGGTAAATAAAACTAGATAAGGGCTCTGCTTGTGTGGAACTTGAAGCCTGAAGTGCTTTAAGATTAGATCTTTTACAAATTAATAGTGAAGTACGCAGTACCTGCTTATGATAAAAAGTTTACGGTGGATAATGAGTTTTTCTTTCAGTGTCTTCCTTTTGTCTATTTTATTTTCATTTTCTTTAAAAAATTCTTTTCTTGGGGGGGATTGAATCTAGGGCCTTGTGCATGCTAGGCAAGCACTGTACCACTGAGCTATTTACATGCATGCCCAGCCCCTTTTAGGTTGTGGCGGTTTTATTTTGGGATAAGGTCTCACTTATTTGCCCAGACTTGCCTTGAACTTGCAATCTTCCTGCTAAGTAGTTGGGGTTACAGGTATTCACCACCATGCCTTCAATATTTTCTAAATTTTTTTCTCTTTTTTTTTGTACCAGGGATTGAACTTGGGACCTTGTGCTTGCGAGGCATGCAGTGGAACCACTGAGCTAAATCCCTGGCCTCTAAAAATTTTTAATATTAGTATTTCTTTCCTTGAACCACTTCTCTTTTGGTTCATTTGTGGTGCTGAGGCCCAAACCCACAGTTATCCACATTCTAGGCAAGCATTCTGTCACTGAGCTACATGTGCAGCCCTTACTGTTTGGTTTTTCTATTTCACTTAATAGGAGGTTTCAAAACTGAGGATTACTTATCTTCTTGAGAACTTCTTGGAATTAAAAAAATTTTAATTGTCGTCCTGTGCTGCTCTCCATTCTAACTTTTTTTCCTCATGGTAACTATTCCGATTCTTTCCCCAATGTGTGAACTCTAGACTTGGTATCTGAACTCTAGATATTGCTTCATGCTTCACTGAGGAAGTTAGGCTCTGTGTTTTCCATCTCCTGTGAGAACATCACTACTTACTTTGGCTTCTTTCTTTTATTCCAGAAAGATTTTGCTACCTAAGCCATGCATAGTCTTGTCTTGTCTTTTCTTCTTTCTTTCTTTCACTAGTATCTGGCTTGCTGGGGATTGAACACAGCACCAGTGCATGCTAGGCAAATGCTCTACCACTGAGCTATGGCTGCAGCCTCAGTCCCACCGTTTATAATCTTAATACCAAACCTCATCTGCTTCTTTATTTATAGGCTTTCTCTCTCTTACAGCAGATAAGGAAACACAGTATTAGAGTTTTTCTCACAGCTAGCAATCATGTTGCTATTCTTCCTTCAAAGGAGAAAGCACCAAACATTAAGGTAAAAGACAAAAAGCATTTCTACCACTGTAGCTCCAGGAGTTGTATTTTTATCTTTTTCTTTTTGTCTCTTTAGTGGTACTGGGGATTTAACCCAGGGCCTTTAGATTGAGCCATATCCTCAGCCCTTTACCTTTTTTTTTTTTTTAGTCAGAATCTTGTTAAATTGCCCAGATGAGGCTTGAATTTGTAATCCTCCTGCCTCAGCCTCCCTGAGTGCTGGGATTACAGGCCTGCCTTACCACCCCTGAGTTTATCTGTACTGTTTAGATGTATCCCCACTAATTTCTCTTACTAGACTGTTAGCTTCGTAACATTACAACAATGTTAGAGTAATTTTTATATCTCAGATTTCCATGAGATGGAGCTTGTTTAATATTTATTTATTAAAAGAGGACTTTCTTTATAACTAATAAAATAGTAGCCAACACAGTGAGTGGTTCCCCTTTTTATTTCATTATTTTGGTACCAGGGATTGGACTTGGGACCTTGTATTTACAAGGTAGGCAGCGGCACCACTGAGTTAAATCCCCAGCCCTCCCCTTTTTATATTTTAGTGTTTGTTGTTTATTTCAGACTTTGGCTTGAATGTACTGATAAAATCATTAAAATACTATAGTACATAAATCAGTTGACTTGCACTGTGATTTGCATGTGGTTTTCCCTCAGGGTTTGGTGCTGGATGCTCAGTCCCCATTGTAGCAGTCCCGAGGTGGTGGATCTCAGACATGGGTCTGCTGGGAAGTCAGTAGGCCATGGAGCGTTGCACTGGAAGGTGCTCATGCTGGGCTTTGGAGTGGTTCCTGCCCACCATAGTGGGCTGTTCTGGAAGAGTGACAGTGGGCCCTGTCCTGTGTCTCACTTCCTGGATTGCCCTGTGACCTCTTTCCCTGTCACACACACCTCTGCCATCATGTCACCCACCGTGTGGTGTCATAGCCTAAGGCCCTCCCAGGTGGGGCTGCCTCATCCTGGACTTCACCCTTCAAAACTGTCAAGTACCCAGCCTCAGGGATTGTGTCATAGCAGCACACAACAAGCAGAGACGCAACTTCATTTATGTTGTTTATGCATCCTGACAGTGATCACTAGATTCCTCACTAAGTTCTGCTCTGTTTTTCTCCTCAAGTTGGTTTTTATTTAAGATTGTTAACTTTGCCCATTGTAAATCCATTTATCCATGTATTTCTAAGAGTCATTTACAGTCATATCTATTATTTTCTGTATCTTCACAGCTATAAAAATGTGGGCAGATTCCTACAGAATTTCTGGTTTAACAATTTCTTTTTGCTCTCCAGGAGAAAAGAGAGTTACACGGGCTACTCACCTTCATATTCTCTTCTTTGTGTCTTCCTTTCCTGCAGTCTGGGTCTTAGGACTCCGTCTGCCCTTGGAGTTTGGAAACCTGGGGCATTGGTGTCTGTGGTGTCCTGAGATCCCTCTTCTGGGCTGTCTCCTCATCTGTGGCCTGATGCTTGGTATTCTTTGGAATATGCTGCTTTTATTTTTCTACTTGTTTCTGTGTTGCTGGGTTTTGGGGAGTGAGATGTATAATCTTTTTCAGAAGTGGGATCTTCATACTTGTTTTCTTGAGGTCTCACGTTACTGGTGGTTTTTATAACTTACTGATGGCCTAGTTTGCTTCATCTTTTGTCTACTGTAGCAGTTCTCTTCCTTGCTTTACCGTGTGCCCTACTACATCAACAGCAAGGTGGCTTTCTGTTACTAACATTTCATTTCTTCTAAAATACAGCTTTTTTGCCAGATGTCATGGCACATGCCTGTAATCCCAGCACTCAGGAGGCTGAGGCAGGAGAATTGCCATGAGTTCGAGGCTAACCTGGGCTACATAGTGAATTCAAGGCCAGGCTGAATTGTAGTTTCTCAGGCCTTTCACTTTTTGTTTGTTTGTTTTCTTTCTGTTTTTTTGTTTGCAGATATACTAAAAATTACTCTCAGGGATTCTTGCTTCATACCATATTTCCACCCTCCACTCCCTTGGGTTAGTTCATTATTATTTATTTCATTATTGATTATTTATATTTATTTCATTATTTCTTTGCAGTGCTAGGTAAGCATTCTGCCACTGAGCTACATTCCCTGTCCTTTTAAAAAAAATTTATTTTGAGATAAGGTCTTTCTGCATTATCCAGGCTGGCCTGGAACTTGTGATCCTCTTGCCTCAGCCTCCCTATTTTCAGGGATTACAGGTGTACATCATCACATCAGACTAGTTCATTATTTTTGACATTTATCTTGTTGTTTTTGTTTTAGACCCTGATAATTGTTCTGAGGGACTTAATTCGATCTCATTATTGTAGATGCATTCAATCTGCTATAGAGATGGATAGGGTGTGGGAGAGATGAAATCTCACTATTCGATTATATTGAGGCCGTCTGACAAAAAGATTGAGGAAGAAACTGTCCTGGGTGAGTTAAACTTTTTGAAGTTCACACAGATAAGTACAAGTAATCAGTGGTGTTGATTTACTCAGACATCTTACATTTTGTGGCTTT